GGATTGGAAGTTCTGACGTAAGGCTGATGCCTTTCTCTATTGAAGCGTGGGAGTGGTTCCCATCACCCGTCGTTGCGTCAATCCCTCCTTACCTCTGATTGTACTGACGTTAGTCGTTGGGTTGGACCGTTAAGATCGTCTTCATCCGCTCTCACTTCGGCGCAATAGGCATTATGAATCTCTTCCCACGTGGTGGGGGGATACTTCATGAGTCGGTTGAGCAGCTTCTTGGTTGCTTTTGATCCGTCTCTGTTCAACCCGTTTTGGAAAGCTGCGACCGCCATTCCTTTTGATATGTTTGGCAGCCCCATTCTTACCCTGTTGAATCGGGCCAGGAAGTCCCTGAGTCCTTCTCCCGTTGTTTGCCTGATGGCGAAGATATCGTTGACCCTAGCTTCGGCCTTCTTTGCTCCTGCATGAGCGGTGGCGAACTTGTCCGCCATCTCTTCGAACGTCGATATCGATCTGGCTGGCAGTTGTGAGTACCATGTTAGCGCTCCTCCTGTCAAAGTTTCACCAAACTTTTTCAGCAACACGGATGGCACCTGTTCTTTCGATAAGTCATTGCCTTTTACGACAGTCACATAATGGATCAGATGGTCTTCCGGATCCGTGGTTCCATCGTATATTTTCAAGTATGGTGGCATCTTGAAGGATTTAGGGATTGGGTGAGGAGCAGCTTCCTCACTATACGGTTGCTCGACGAACCTTCCCACATCGCATTTCGGTAGTAGCTTAGGGGCACCAGGTATCTTGTCTACACTTTCCTGGTGCTCCTTCATTTGATCACGAAGCGTTTTATTCTCGTTCTCCATTTCATCCATTTTCTTGAGGATGGTTGCGAGCGCGTCATCGCTTGCATTGGTATCGGTGTGGGCGTTGCTTGTTCGTATAACACTGGGCTCACCAGCGGCAGTGGCGATTTCTGCCATTGACGAATCTTTGATATTTCCCTGAGGTGGTTTCTCGAGCATGCTACTTAGAGTGTTCGTCAACCATTCCTCTAGTAGCGTTTTGACTACTGGGGGCGTTTCCTTTGCTGCAGATATAGAAGTCCCTCTTTCATGCAAAATTGTTAGATCTTCGAGTGAAGAGGGTGAGATCTCCCCCTCCGGTACACTACTTGGTGTTACATTCGTGGTATTTTCTCTACCGGCTTCGTTGAGTGGGCCTATGAGGTTGGTTGAGACATCTGCTATCATCTTCAGCCTTGATTCTTTATCTGCCATTTGTTAGTTTCTATGAAATCTGAAGAACAGTGATTGTTGTTTTCGATATCCTAGATGTGAACTATGATTTCGACTACCGAAATCCCCACAGACGGCGCCAAATTGTTTGACTCAAAAGTTGTTTAACACTTTCTAAGCAAATCAATCAATATAGATGAGGGGGTAAATCGTAACCGAAGATAATAAACCTGGGATGATCTTCGTGATTGATTCACATAACAATAATACAAATCGGAGAGAGGGAGAAGATGATAATCTTAGAGAGATGAGAGAGAGAGAGATAATATTAGAGAAACGAGAGAACTTGTATTTTCAATATAATGGATCGGGTCCCCTTTACAAAGCTCAGACCCCCTATATATAAGAGAGGATCCCTATTTAAATATTAAAAGACGGAAATAAAGTACATGCTACAGAGGGGCCGACATGATTATGAAGTCGTCCCTCTAGCTGGACTCACATATATTCGGTCGGTCGTGCTGGCTTAGGGACGTGGTCGGTCAAATTCGACCCCATACATATGGCATGGAATATTTTTTACCCTAATAGTTATTACCTAAGAAAGGAGTAGAAGACTCGGTTCAAAAAGTTGTCTCGTTAGTACATTTAGTTTCAAAAGAGATGTGCCACATCATGTCCAAACGTGGTCAAATTCAGCGGACCAACTAGACATAATTTAACATATTTAGAGGGCGTTTGGACATAAGAATTATAAAATTTCAAAAAAAGTAAAAATGATATTTGAAAGTTAGAGTTGTGTTTGGACATGAATACAATTTGGAGCTATTTTTTAATTTTTGTGAGTGATTTGAAGTGAATTTTGAAAATAACTTATTTGAGTTTTTTTAATTTTCGAAAAATTCCAAAATTTATCTTCAAGTGAAATTTAAAATTTTCATGACCAAACACCGATTCCCAAAAAAAGTGAAAATTTTGGGGAAAAAAGTGAAAAACTTCTTATGGCCAATCGGGCCCTTAGAATGTTGCTTTTCTGGGGAAAAAACAAAGAAAAAGAAAAGGTCCAAATTATGTTACAGTTTTATTTGTTAATTTTCTCATATTTTCTCAAATTGTTACAAGTGAAAAAAGATAAAGCTATAAATCTTTCCTGCGTTTTTATTTTATTTTTTGGGTTTACGAAATAATGCCATTTACATAGTACTAACAACAGGTCAACAGTGAAAAGGAAGCTGGAATTTTACGTATCAATTATGAAAAGTCTACCCATTGATCCCGACATTACTTAATTTTACCGTGACTTGGATCCGAATTCTTACATTGGTATTTTAGCATTATTTCTCTATATGTTGAGAATTTTCTGTTGCATCAAAATCCTCACAAATGATATTTTTATGCGAATTATCATCTTTTAAAATAGATGTGTAGGATCATGATGGAGAAGAAGGTAATTGTCCATATTTTCTGTTAAAGATAAGACTAAAGAGGTGTGAAATTGGAGCAACGGTAGTTTGCATGTTGTTTACCCGTAAAATGATATAGTTGAATTTGTAACGTAGTTTATAGACATGTGGATTAAATTAATTGAAAAAAATAAAATAATAAAGCAAAAGTGATTAAGATAAGAACAATTAAAGAGAAGACAAGCCTGGACTTAAAAACTCGTAGAAATGTCTACGAGGATGACTCCGGTTGAATACTCAGCAATACTTCGAATCAGAAACAAAAGAATATAGAGAACAAAGTAAGTATGTTGTTTTGCTATATGATTTCCTCCCTATTACAACATAATGAAAGCCTCTATTTATACTGAAGCTATGGGATCTATAAATTGTGCCCCCTTAATGATCAATATTAATGTTGCAATAAAAGGTAGTTAAAAGGTGATAAAGGATAATAAATTCTAATAAAGGCTGGAGGAATCTTGGGATCTTCTGTAACGTCTTTGTAACAGACATATCTTGAATTGCTTCTTATCCGATCACAAATTTGTATCCGATGTCGCCATGGTTGAGTCATCACTGAGTGATCATTCTTGACACGTGTAGACTCTACATAAAGGATTGTGTAGACTCTACATAAACCGCAAGCCGTATAAGATCAACCTTATCAAATCCGCCTCACCCCCGGTATGAAGTAGAAAAAGCTCAACTACCCCGTAGCCTACAACCCTAATACTCGACATCCATACCTTCCTATCAAGTGTCATTTCCTCGAAAATCTACAGTCATTCCATGTCCTGGTCACCTCTCCCCAATACTTCTTAGGTCGCCCTCAACCTCTTCTCATACCCACCAAAACCAACTGCTCACACCTCCTCACCAGAGCATCAAGGCTTCTCCTCCGCACGTGCCCGAACCATCTGAGCCTCGCTTCCCGCATCTTGTCATCCACAGGGGCCACGCCCACCTTCTCCCGAATATCTTTATTCATAATCTTATCCATCCTAGTGTGCCCGTACATCCACCTCAACATCCTCATCTCTGCTACCTTCATCTTCTAGATATGAGAGTTCTTAATCAGCCAACGTTCTGCCCCATACAACATGGCCGGTGTAGACAATAAATTTGCGTCGAGAAAATAAAATCAAGACCGAAAAATATTGCAACAATCGCAGTATTTGATTTTGAATATTTGAGTGTTACAATCTCTATGAGTCCTCTGATTCTTCCTTCCAATAGTAAATAAATTCAAGGGCCTTTGAGCTTGATCTTGAATTTGAATTTGATTTATCCGTCGCGAACACTTTCATTGTTGCCACAAATTGTATCACGAACAAGTAGCCTTGATCTTGAACATCTTGTATTTGATTTGACTTCGTTCTTGATCTTGACTTTGATTGCTTGAACTTGAACTTGATTTGTTCTTCGTTCTTGAGCCTGAACTTGATTTGTTCTTCGTTCTTGAGCTTGAACTTGAACTTGATTGCTTGAAGCTTGAAACTTGTGGATGAATTTGCAGTGTTTGATCCACGAGCTCTTTCTTGCTTCTTGTTATAACTTCTGGTCCATTTTCTGAGTTATGAAGACCCCTATTTATAGTTGTGGAAGGGAAGAGTTGTGATAAGAACAAACTCTTTCCGACCAATCAGATTGAAGAGTGACATGGCCTCATTTGATTGGCCAGAACATGTCACTTGCACACGTGGCATGATTTCATTGGCCTTTCAGTGTGACTGGGCATGCCTTGTCATTTTGACACATGGCATGATTTCATTGGCCCATTTATTTGTCTTGGATTGCCACGTCACTCGACATGTGGCATGAGCCTGGGCTTTAAGACGGGCTAATAGCCATTTGGACCTCGGGCTACTGAAGTGGGCTTATCATTTAATTTATAGTCCAATTAAATGGACTAGCCCAACACGTATATTGGCTTTTAATAATTAGCCCAATTTACTAGCCACAATATTTGTTTGGACTAATGTCTTGAATTTAATATGGTCCAAATTATTTTATGGATTTGAATTCAATAAAATTTAAATGCTTATAGCCGGTCTAACCACCGCTCTATTAAACTTACCTTTGAGTATCGATGGCACTTTGTTGTCACACAAGACTCCAGATGCTTTCCTCCATATCATCCACCCCACCCCTATGCGGTGAGTGATGTCCTCATCGGTCTCTTCGCCCCTTGTATAACCGACCCAAGGTACTTGAAACTACCTCTTTTGGGGATGACCTAGCCTCACGTCCATGCCTACCTCCCTCGACTAAGCGTTGAACTTGCACTCCTGTCTCCAAAAATTATAGTGAAGTGCAAAAAAATAAAATCATATTACTATGTATATAAGTTAATTTCTTCATATTGCCGTTGTGCCTAATTATAAAATTAGTTAGGAAATAGATTCTGCAAATATGAAATGAAATTGTAGCAAAGACGAGTAATGTTCTGGACGCCCAACGACAGTGGTTAGTGAAACAGCAAAAACGAGGGATCAAAGAGAATGTGTGCAGTTGTGCCAACACTCAGCCAAAAGCAGTCGCCAGGTGATTGAGGACCAGCTACGTACACACACACATACACATTAAACACACACTCAATTAGTCGGAGAGAGAAAATGGAGGTGAGAACAAGAGCTCCAGGGAAAATAATATTAACAGGGGAACACGCGGTGGTTCACGGATCAACTGCCGTCGCTGCCTCTATTGATCTCTATACTTACGTCTCCCTTCGCTTCCCTACTCCTCCTGGTATATATACTATATTCCTCTCTTCTCCTTCTCTATCTCCGTATATAAATCTTTGTTAATGTGGAGGCTGTTTCTACTATGCATTGAATTTTGATTAACTATGTATATGACATGACTGAATTCTGAATTGATTTTACTGGATTTGTAAATTTACAGATACATGCCCTGTTTTGAGACTTTTACTGTGAATAATTTCGAATTTCAGTGTCCTGGCCCAACATTCCTGCATGCTAGTTGGCAGAAGCACTTTCTAATTTTAGGCCCAAAATGTGTATTAGCCTTTTTTATATTCCCTCTTCCTCTGCCCCTTCATCACCCCTTTCTTTTGGGTTCTTAATTTTGAGGTGCTTTTGGACCTTGTTTTCTTTTGAATGCTGCATTATAATGACATGTTTGATAGTGATAATCATGTCGTTTCATATGGAGGAACATGTTTTCCATGGGAAATGTTAAATACTTTATCTCAGGATATCATTTTTTGGATCATCACTCCAGTTTTTTTGAGAAGGAAGGTTAAAGATGATGTTATGCACAATACAAATAGGGTAAAAATAATTTTTTGGTATATATAGATATAAATTGTTGAATCCCCTTGATAGTTAATTTATTCACTCACTATGCAAGTTTGCATCTTTTAGAAATGCCTTGTTGGCTCTTCCATTGGACTTAGTAGCTTTCAGGACTAGCCTTGTATTGAATGAACTAGAAAGAAGAAAAGATTACTATTTTCAGGCATTCTAAATTTGTTTCGTTATTCGTTAAGGCTCTTATATAGGGGTGTCAAGCTGCTAAGCCACACTGTGAAAGTTTGGGAGAGAGTAGTGGAGATGCGGGTGAGGAGGCATATGTCTGTTTTTGAGAGCCAATTTGGATTCACGCCGGGGCAATCTACTATAGTGGGAGAAGAATCGGTTCACTTCCCAATCGTGATGGGGGTTACACTTGGGATTAACTCTTAGCTTGTTTTTATTTGCTTTGGCGATGGATGTATTAACGCGTCACATTCAAGGAGAGGTATCATGGTGCATGTTATTTGCAGATGACATAATATTGATTGACGAGACGCAAGGTGGAGTTAACGGTAGACTGGATGTTTGGAGAAAGAGCTTGGAGTCTAATGGTTTCAGATTGAGCCGGACTAAGATAGAATATGTGGAGTGCAAGTCCAATAACATTACTCAGGAGGCTAACGTGGAAGTGTGGCTGGATTCACAAGCCATCCCTAAAAGAGGAAGTTTCAAGAATCTTCGGTCAGTAATCCAAGGCAATTGGGAGATCGACAATGATGTCACACATCGTATTGGAGCGGGGTAGATGAAATGGAGGCTAGCATCCGGTGTCTTGTGTGATAAGAATGTGCCACCAAGACTTAAAGGTAAATTCTACAAAGTGGTGGTTAGACTGACTATATTGTATGCGGTGGAGTGTTGGCAAATCAAGAACTCTCATGTCTAGAAGATGAAAGTAGCGGAGATGAGGATTCTCAGATGGATGTGTGGGTATATCAGGAGAGATATGGTCAGGAATGACGATATCGGGACAAGGTAGGCATGGACTCTATGGTAGACAAGATGCGGGAAGCGAGGCTGAGATAGTTCAGGCATATGAAACGGAGATGCCCGGATGCCCCAGTGAGGAGGTGTGAGAAATTGATAACGGTGGGTCTGAGGAGAGGTAGAGGTAGGCCAAAGAAGTATTGGCTAGAGGTGATTAGGCAGAACATGGCACATCTTCAGCTTACCGAGGACATGACCCTTGATAGGAGGGTGTGGAGGTCAAGAGCTAGGGTAGAAGGATAGTAAACATTCGAGTGTCTTTCCTTTCATTTAAGTAGTAGTAGTGTTATCCTCGTATTTCCGTATTCCTAGATTTTTATTACTACCTGGTTGTTTTTGTTCTGGTTTTTCTATTATCTTGTTAGTGTGATTGCTTGATACTTTCACTGCTGCATTTTTTTCTCTATTGTGTTGTAATTAGTTATACATGCTTGCTTTGAGCCGAGGGTCTATCGGAAATAGTCTCTCTATCTGCACAAGGTAAGGGTAAGCTGCATAAACACTACCCTCCCAGACCTCACTTTTGGGATTACACTGGGTATTGTTGTTGTTGATGTCTAACTGTTGATTAGAGGTAGAGGAAGTGATATGGAGTAAGGGTTGGGATATTTGCTAAGGAAAATGCATCCACCAAGAATTTACGAAAGTCATCTCTATCCTTTTGGTGGAAATCATTTTATTAGAGAAATTTTCCATAATTCAAGGTGACCAAATGTTGTGAAACGATTTCATCAAGGAAACTTTTCGTGGAAAACATTTTCCATCATGCCAAACACATCAAGAAAGAAAAATGCATCGAAACTTCATCCAGGAATCTAGTGACAACCTAACGAATTTCCTTTGCTAAGGGAATTTGACTGATTGTTCATTGGAATAATTGTTGTGATGTTGACATACATCTATCTGCAGTTCAAACTGAAAACTCTGGGGATTGTAGCAGATGCTAAAATCGTTAATGAGAATGGTCTAATGGATATCTCGATCTGAAAATGTTCAATTAATTTAACTTCCATTTTCATTCGTATTACCTAAGTAGCTTATTGTTCTTGCACACCCGAAAGAAAAGAGAATGCTTCGCCTGAACTGTTTTCCTTTTCATGGTGATCTATTGCATTTAGTTGTAGCTTCATTTTGTGCTTCACTAATTGCATTTCCTTTCTGCTTAATTTCTTCGGCAAATAGATAATGCCGAAACATTAAGACTCCAGCTTAAGGATATGTCCTTAGAATTTTCCTGGCCGGTTGCAAGAATTAAAGAGGCTTTCCCTAACTTGGATGCTCAAGTTCCTATGTCACCTTCTTCGTGCTCACTGGAGACGCTTAAAACAGTTGCTTCTCTAGTTGATGAACAAAACATTCCCGAGGCGAAGAATGGGCTTGCTGGTGGTGTTTCTGCTTTTCTCTGGCTGTACACCTCAATCCACGGGTCTGAACTCTTTTCCTCTTGTTAACCTTAGCATTCTTTAGTACAGACTTCACAAATCTCATTGTTCTCTTCTCTTGACTTGCTTTATCAGGTCCAAACCAGCAAAAGCAGTTGTCAATTCTGAGCTTCCACTAGGATCAGGCTTGGGTTCATCTGCAGCTTTCTGTGTTGCAGTCTCTTCAGCCCTTCTTGCTATGTCTGATGCAGTTAGTATGGATTTCAGACACCAAGGTTGGCAAATATTTGGAGAGAGTGAGTTGGAATTGCTGAACAAATGGGCTTTTGAGGGTGAGAAAATAATTCATGGGAAGCCATCTGGTATTGACAACACCGTGAGCACATATGGTATGTGACAGTCAATACTACATAGTGTGGTTTCCTTAAATGAGAAATTAGAGAGAAAAAGACATTGCAGTCAATCAGGTAAGGAAAAGAGTCATTAGTGCAGGGAAATATATGAAAATTATTTCCAAATTGGGTGAAATGAGTTAGCTTGTGATTGAAAAGTAAAAGCAGGTATGTAAAAGCAGGAGTTAACAAGAAATATTAAAAATATCATGCATTATAGTAAGAAAAGAAAGAGAAGTTGAATTAAGACTGTAACTTAAGAGCTTCCTAAATTAATATTGTTGTTTTAAGATAATATGTGATGGAACCATAGTAAAAGCCTAGCAATCTTCTTTCCTTCGACGAGAGGAGAAATAAATTTAAGATAAATTGTTTCAGAAGAGTTCATTAGGCTTCTGAAGTTTTTTCCTATAAGCCTCTTTTATTGAATGAAGGAGTTTTCTCTAATTATTACATTGTTATCTGAAACTTATCTCGGTTTTTTTTTTTTTTTTGAAATATATATCTCTGTTCAGGAACGAACTTCATTAAATTACTGATTAGGACACAAATATCATGCCAACATATTACCATTGCTATGAAACACTGCCATACAAATCATTGGATTTTCCACTTTGCTTCATCCTATTTAAACATGAGGCTGTGGAGCCAGAATATCTTCTTTCTGGGGGAAGGGACAAGCATGTCAAAGATGCTCTTGTCATCATATAAAACTTATTAGCATTCGGGAATAGTAATTGCAAATTTAAGAATATCAGTGATCTCTCATAGAAGAAAATGCAGTTTCATTGATTATTTTACCTTTTATGTTCCGGCTCACCCAAAATAGGTACTCCCTCTGTTCAACTTTATGTATCATACTTTCCTTTTATGTCTGTTCCAAAAAGACTGTCGTACTTCCTTATTAAGAAACGACTTAAATTTAAACTTCCCATTTTACCCTTAATGAGATGATTTATAGCCACACAAAAGTCTATAACTTGTTTTAGACCATAAATTTAAAAGTCTTTCATTCTTAAACTTTGTGCCCAGTCAAACACTGCCACTTAAATTGGGTGGAGGAAGTAGCTTTTAATTTGCACGGAGGAGAATAATGACTTCTCTGTCCTTTCTTCTTCTGTATTGGTTTACCAATTTAATTTGTTTAAATAGAAATTTCTCTTTTTTAGTCAGCATGAAATAAGATATACGTCCTCCGTCGCATCTTATGTGATGGTGCTTGATTGAGCACGAAGTTTAAGAAATAAAAGACTTTTCACATAAGCTAAATATATGCAAGGTATAATTTACCCTTACTATTAACAATTAAATGAAAGTTGGTAAGAGTTCCACATGTCACTTCCTACTTTTCTTTCCTGATAAAATCAATTTAAATATTGCGTGGATTCTCAATAAGTCATGTTAATAAGGGTAAAATGGTAAACCAATACAGAAGAAGAGTGGATGTTAATATTAAATCGTTTTCAAATACAGAATTTCGTCATTCTTTTGGGGCAAAACTAATAAGGAAAGTGTGTTGCATAAAATGGGATAAAGGGAATAATTAGGCCTTTTGATCATCAACAAAATTAATAATTAGGTTAGATTATCCTAGAACCTAAGTTTCTATTTCATTAATATGATGAGCTGTACAAAAGATTATCTAATTAAAAGCACATAATAATTGGAAACCCTGAAACCTTCTTGGCAACAGAAGATCTGTAGAGAAGGCTCGCTCCTAAATTATATTTCTTTCATTTACCTTTTCTTTCTGCTAATTTCCTTTTCCGTGGTCTCTTTTATTTTTTTCATGGGAGGGGAAGATGGGCGATTTCCTTCTATTTATCCTAGAATCATCAAGTTATCATTACATAACTATGCTCTACTTAGTTGCTTTTACTTTTTAATTCAGAAAATATAGAATACTTAAATCCCTTGAGATGCTTCTTCAAAGAATATTTCAGGATCTTGTAACTGCACCACCTGAAAATGCGACAGGAAATATGATCAAGTTCAGATCTGGCGATTTGACATGCCTCAAAACAAACATGCCAATTAAAATGCTGATCACTAACACAAAGGTCAGAAGAAATACAAAGGCATTGGTAGCTAGCGTTTCAGAGAGGACCATGAGGCATCCAACCGCTATGGCTTCTGTGTTTACTGCAGTTGACTCCATCAGCAACGAGTTAGCTACCATCATTCAGTCACCTGTCTCCGATGATCTTGCCATAACTGAGAAGGAAGAGAAGCTAGGAGTGTTGATGGAGATGAACCAAGGATTGCTGCAGTGCATGGGCGTTAGCCATGCCTCTATAGAAACTGTGCTTCGAACGACTCTAAAGTACAAACTATCTTCCAAGTTAACTGGAGCTGGTGGTGGAGGCTGTGTTTTGACACTACTACCTACACGTATCCTTTATTTTCTTTTTCTTCTGATCGATGCCCTTCTATTCACATTGTCTCCCTATCATTACTAAAATATTTTTAGTTCTGGATATGCTTTCTCTGTTCAGTGTTGATATTCTCACATCAGAGTTTGCTTCTCCTGATGAATAGCTTTTTATTACATCTATGTTACTTCATGCATCTGCTCTCCCTCGGTTCATAAGAGGGCTGCATTGGCTGATGTGGTGGAGATGCATTAACTGATCTGTCTACTTTATAGCTTAGTTTTTTCGTCTGAATGTCTAAATTATAATTGAGGGTAATGCAGTTCATATAGGAATATGCTGCTTAGTAGGTTACTGAACATTACACAAATTGGTTAAAATATTTCTAGTGTTTATTAGGAACGTATTTTTATATACCTGTCAAAGCACTGACTTTTCTTATGGGCATTTCAATATGATACTGCTAGATAGTTTTGTTAACCAAGTTGCGCCAAATTGACAAGACTAACATAGTTCTACAGATAGCAAAAAGTTTGAACCCATTTAATAATTCGAAATCAGGATTGCAATTCCTCGTCTTGACGATAGTAACATCAAGATTATGTACCTTTTACTGTCTACGTATTCTCTCTGTCCCCCGCTGTTTCTATCTCTTATTTTTTTTAAATATTTTTTATTACATCAGGAGAGGGGGAAGGGATACTACGCAACTGATGGGATTTGAATCCTCCTCCTCAACCGTGGAAGCCAGGAAGCTTATTAAGTGAGCTAGCCCTCAACCCCTACTCTTTCTATGTCAGTCTTACTGTTTGTCAAGTTTTCCCTTTTTATTTTCCTGAAACAGGGATATCTAATCTATGTTGCTCGGACTCCCAGAAGATGTCGTCGGGTGCGTGTCATATCCTCCAAAAGTAGTGTATTTTAGGAGGATCCAACACGGATGCGGCAACATTTTTGGAGAGTCCGAGCAACTTAGTATCTAATGCACTTAAAAACATTTGATTAGGTGATTGAAATTACATAACTACTCTAGTATATGGATTTGTGCGGTTGTTCATGTTGTTGTATTCCTCACTTTTCTGTTGATGTACTTGCCTTTGACATGCAGGTGATAAATTTGCTAATATTTCCCATTATATAGAATATTTCACATAAACAAAAAAAATTCCTGCTAAGTTTTGCACATTTCTCTTGTTTCCTTGACAAGAATTTCTAGTGCTATCAGGAACGGTTGTTGATCAGCTGATGGCTGAGTTAGAGACATGCCGATTCCAATGTTTTGTTGCTGGGATTGGTGGGAAAGGTGTAGAAGTTTCATTTAATGTCACTTCTTGATCATAACCAGATGCAATAGTTTGACGTCATGAGATTTGTCTGTGCATTGTTAAACGTGGATGTGGTTTGGGGGTGGGGTGGGGGGGGGGTCACCTTCCCTTGTCATTCTTGTAGCATCTGCTTTAATTTGTAATTGATACCACAGCAATCGTTGTCTAATTACTGAATTTGGTTAGCGTTTTGCAACCCAAGAAACATGGAGCCTTGCCCTTGAGTTGTTATAGTTCAGATGTTAAACACTTGAAGAAACTGTAGAAAATAATTCATTTCTTTTTTAATGTTTGACCGGCAAAATTAATAAGATCAGTGTTTCCAATGAATGCTCAGTAACAAGCTCAAGATTGTCAGCGCCTGGTGTTCTTGTTATCACATCAGCGACAAGTGTGGTTAGACCTCAGGTAGTTAGCGTTGATGTGTCTTAGCGACATTAGTAAGGGCACTCTAACCATACCAAGTTATAGAATGAGAATAAATGGTCGAGTAACTAGGATTGCAAGCAATTAAAATTGTGTTCATCCTGAGATGTTCATTTAAGATGTTAATGTTGGTTGTTGGTCTTATGTGAAACAACGGAAATTAATTAGGATATAAGAAACTAAATTTGGAATGCAACTGGATGGAAGCGTTAGGGCATTGATTAACATGTACGCAATTTGAGTTTGATTTCAACAACACGACAAAATTCCTAAAATGAAATATTTTCAACAACTAGTTAACTGTTTATTTAGTTTCTGCGTAAGTCAGAGGTTTTCATAGGAGTACAACATTCCCTGACAGCTTGAGTTTTACTGTTACAGTTAATTCTGATTCCCTTAAATTCAACGAATCTGTTATGAGGAAGTTTCTAATATGTACTAAGCAAAGACATGACTTATACTGAGTATTACTGACCTAAGATTCTTCGTGTTCGATTGATCTATATATATTTCTTCTCTTCCAATACTTGAAAATATAGTAGTCCCGCAACCTAATTCATGAAAAACATTAAGCAATATCGTAACAAATCTAAAAACTCAACATGATCAATAAAAGAAGCCTAGAATCCATATAAAACCAACTAAAAAATTGCTCCATTGCTGGAGTAACAATACGCACAAGGTGATCCTAGAACGCATAATTATCCAATATATAAAATAAACAAGGAAAGAGATGTTGTCACAATCCAATTTTTCCTATAGGCTGTGATAACGCTCAACGTTACTGCTAGGCAAACCAACAGTGAAGTAACTCTATGATCTTTTCTTTTAGAAATTTGAAACAGTTGATTTTTAATTTATGCATAAATAGGAAGTAAAAGAACACTTAATAAGATGAGAGATAACAAATTTTAAGATCAAATGAGATAAGTAAAATAACCCAAAAATTATCATGTGTCTACTAGCATAAATCTCCCAGACCTGGTGTCACAAGTGTATGAGCTACTAATAGAATATACAAAAGAATACTACACTACTGTCTGAAGTGAACAAGACAGAAAATAAAAACAAAAGAAAGACTTCGACTACTGCAGAACGGGCTCAGAAGGCAGCTCACCGCAGAGTCTCGTGGAATCAAGGAAGCGCGCCGGACTGATATTCAGATGCACCTGCCTCAGATCTCGCACATTTAGTGCAAAAGTGTAGCGTGTGTACGTAAAATATACGGTGCGAAATCTCCTCTTAGATCTTCACTTACCCCCCCCCCCCCCCCCCTTGAGCTCTTTTCAAGAAAAATATTCTAGTGCCAATCCCTCGGAAGGTTGTATTTCATGTGCTTTGAGCAATCCTGAAAGAATCTTGTCCTGCCTTAATTAGGGCAACCACTTTAAATTGTTGTCGTTCAAATCCGTAACATGATCTACTTTATTGTCCTTACGTGGCCATGTTGTAGCACCACGGGAGGGTGGTCTCATCCCAATTTTTGCCACTGGCTGGCATACTTGATGTTTGGTGCAGTATTGTCCTTTTACCACTCACACAGAGAAGTAATAGAAAGTAACAAGCTATTTTTAGTAAAACCTCCTAAATTTAGTGCATACACAACTTAAAAGTAAGTTACCGTAAAATTAAATTGTTTCATATTTGCTATGATTCAAGTATTGATATCCAATTTTTCCCTCATATATTTTAAAATGCATATATACTTCCAAAATAGTGCATGAGCATCCACCAGTATTTTTCCATAATTTTCTGTAATTTTAAAAGGATTTTAATTAATTAATTTATTCCAGCATTTTATTATCTAAATAATTACTAATTGCATCGCAAATAATTTTATAATGATTTAGTACTTGATTTCTATCATTTATATTTATATTAAGCTTTAATCATTTTAGCATAAATATATTTACATCTTTAGGTTATAATTGCAATAACTTTGCAATAATAGCCCTTATATGCATAATTGTATTATTTACACGGAAAATGACTTTTATATTTTTATAATATTAAGTAATTATTTTAAATCATTTCCATGCATAAATAGCATTTTTTTATCATTTATTAGCTATTTTTATAAATTATTTTATCAAATTAATTGAGTATTTAACATATAGCCTCTTTTAATTTGATTTTCGGACCTCAGCCCAATTAAATTAACCCATAACCCTGATCCATACCCGCCCCAAACAAGGTTCAATCCTGGCCGTCGATCTCAAAAGATCAACGGTCCAGGATTTACCTTCCATTTTAATTAACCAAACAACCCCTAAAGCCTATTCATTTTTTAGATCTGCCGTCACTGAAACCCTTCCTCCTCTCCTCTCTCACCCTCCTTCTAACCTTAGCCCGCCGTTACCAAAATTCCTTCGATCCATGGGTTTCTTCTTCGATTCCAGGCCTTATCTGGCCTCTTATCTCTACTGGTGTTATGATTTTCGTATTGCTTGACGGAATCTCAAAGAGATTCGAACCAGATTTGGTTCAAATCCCTCATGTTCTAGATGAATCCGTCTGTGTTCATTCCTATGTCTGTGAGTACTAATATCTTCGTGTTTATGGCTTCAAATCTGTGGTTCAAACCAGATTTTTCTCACCTCTGTTTATTTTTTTATAACCTAACCATTTCTGGCTAAATCCGTTTAGATCTCTTAAGATCTGAAGCGATTTGAGTTTGTTTGTTACTTTTCCTTTAAGATTCTGCTATTTTTCCTATTATTGTTAACCGATTTTTGTTTTTTCCCTAAAAGCTAGGGTTTCAATTTTTTAAAGAAGTTTCTGAAAAAAAATGTTTTAAAACGTTTAAGTGTTTAACTCCGGTTTTCTTCCTCTACTTTTCCACTGATTTTCATCCCTATGTCTTTATGCCCTAGGGTTTCTAATTATTCTACTGCTTGCTATAATGTTCGCCCATTTACTTTGGCTCTCAATTAAACTAAGTAATTGATTATTTGCCTAATTAGGGTTTGAAATTATATCTTCTTTTACCCATTCTTTCCATATATATATGATTCGTAATTGGTACTACTTTTCTTAATTATATCACTGGCCTGATTTCTGGGCCTTGATTGTTATGACCGACCTTTGAGTGATTTCTGGACTTATTACTTACCTTATTAAACCTCAATCTTGTCTGCTAATTGATTTCGTATAAGATTCTCCTTAATCTAAGTAATAATTCCGTAATTCTGTCCTATTAAGTGATTTGTGTTTAACCCTAATTGATTGATTAACTGATTTCTTTGCCTTATTTGTGTGCCATAGATTCTCCTACCTTATTTGGTTTTACTCTACTATATGCTATAAAACCCTTCATTGTTTTGATTTTTGAACACACGCTGAGACATACAAGCTCACGCCTACAAACCTACACTGTTTGTAGTCTTGTAATTTGAACCTGTTTGTTCCTAAAAAATCAAACTGTTTTCTAAAATTGTCCCCTACCCCTTATATATACTATTTTTCAAACTTCTACTCTTAGCTATCTAGGTTCCTACCACCTCCAGTGTGAGCGCTGCCTAGGGTCCCTGAGACTCCTTTGAACTCTGGCCCATTGGAGCTGGTTTTCCAATCTCTTATGAATTCTGTGTTGAATGTGTGAATCCAGTGTGAGCATTGCCCGGGGTCCTTGAGCCTCTTTGGCAACTTTGACACACCGGAAGCCTGGCTTAAGGTGTTGTGGATCCCTGCTACTGTTTCAAGGCTGTTGTGTTGAAGGCCTGGCTCTCAGGTTTATATTGGGCCTGCCAAGGCTCCCTATAGTGTAATAGATACTGTTATATAGTTTATTCATTCTGGGCTGTAATAATTTCTGTAATAAACAGATCTGGGGTTTGTTAGTAAAAGCTGGGGGGTTTTCCTACATCTTTGCTTGAAACTCGGGTAGAAATCCTGCCTATAGGTTTATTGGTGATTATGTGAGTGTTATTACTTGTTTAGAGATCATGTCTATAGGACTTTCTGATTACTTTGTTCTGCACTTCACTCGCATGCTAGAAATCTTGTTCATAGACTCTTTGCATTAGAAATCCTGTCCATAGGATCCATGCACATTTTTTACATGCATTAGTAATCATGTATATAGGATCCTATCTGTTTGAATAATAATTTTCCTGACAATGTGCTTAAAGAATTCTGCCTGCATGTGATTAATAGATATCGTGCCTATAGGAACTAAAAAATCAGTTAGATACCATGCCTATAGGAAATAAAGGAATCGGTCCCAAACCTAAAAATCATGTCTATAGGATTTAGTCTAATAGATATTATGCCTGTAGGGTGAAATCAATTTGTAAACTTAGGAATCCTGCTAATAGAAATTCAAATCAAGTCAACACTTAGAGATCATGCCTATAGAAGTTTAAATATATATATAGCAGTTAGAAAGCATGCCTCTAGGATCTAAAGAGTTAAAACCTGCCTTTACGAGTTAAAATCAGTGATTGCATGCTATAGGTTTATAATTAACAATTGCAGATATCATGCCTATAGGATTCTGTTAATCACTTAGGCAAATTTGTAGGGTATTAATGATTCTGGGTTTTAAAACGCTGATATTTACTACCTGAAGATGCCCGGATTCAAGGCTTAATAAAATCAGTAGGCAAAACTGATAGGTCCAGATGCCCGCCTTAGTAAACCGCTGTTTTGTATTCTGTTTCTGCTCATCTAGATATCCTGTCTATAGGATCCCTATTTAACTAAATTTGCTGATTGAATTGCGTGCATTTGTTGTCTACTTGTGGAGGTCAATGTGAGCCCCTATTTGTTCTTTACATGAAGTCCTATCTAAATTTTGCTTGTCGCTTAGCTTTTCTCATTTTTAAGCAATATAGGTCAGTCTAGAAGCACCCTAAGTAGAGGTCTTAAATACCTCTGGGACCATAGATAATGGACGGGTAGTGCACGCATAAGGTATGCATTAGAAGCTACTAGAACGCTTAGGTAACAACTGAAAGATAGTAATTGGGTAGTAAAGGAAATGATGACTCGTGCGCTAATGCTATGTGTAGCACCCCTACTTGGGGAAAGTTACCAAGTATTGCATAGAAATGATCCTATAGGCTAAAAAACCTAGGACCCCTTTAATTCCTGTTTTAAAGTAATGTCTATTTGTCTAAATTGTTTGTTTTCCCATAAGACTAATTCACTTAATTTAAGTTCGGCCGGGACCCACCGTTGTGGACCTCGAGGGGTGCCTTACACCTTCCCCTCCAGGTAATTTTGAGCCCTTACCCGATCTCTGGTGACGTAAACTGGTTATATGAGTTAACCATTCTAGGTGCCCTAACGCACCTTAATCCGTTAGGTGGCGACTCTTCAAAACCCTTACCCAATCCCTAAAGGAAAGGAGTTGTCCCAAACATGTCGAAGCCCGATTTCGCGAAAAAAAGGGAGCGCGACACATGTACATTCACACATTAAACCCTACACTTTTGTTGAACCAAACCCCAACCTTCATTCATAATAGCATCAAGCTCCCAATATCTTTAAGGACAAACAAGATGAGAACTACCACTAGCATGGAATCCATTTTTTTCTTTACTAAGTTCTCATTTTCGAGCAAACTCACTTTTTCTTAATTCTCTACACGTGGCTCTCACCATTTTCAAATAGTGCACTGTTCTCCTTTTTATATAGTTCCGCTCAAATCCGATCATACCTCACTTAGCTTTTACAAGCTCATACAAATTCAAATGTTCACGAGAGGTAAAAGGTTCAAACAGATAGACAATTCAAACAAGCGGTCAAGCTTGTAGTGTGGTTGCCAAAGAAATAGGATTACAGGCTCAACGGGGCTAACTAAGATACACATTCATTAGGTGGGTAAAAGCATATATGTGGCTCCACAAAGAAATGCCTATATCACTTTCTAGATTTAACAAGACTACTATTTCGCTTTGCAAACACACGGGGCAAGTTCTAGACATCAAATTAGATGCAAGAATATCACCAACAACCTCGCACACACATTCCACATAACTCACTTAGGACCGGATCTATCCCGACTCTCTAGTCAAAGCAGTTAAGCAAAGTCAAAATCAAACAATTTAAGGCACTTATCTATGAGTTAAGAATTGAGCCTAGGCGTCATAACGAAGGCACTCACTACTCTCATGGTACAACAATATCAAGAAAAGTCATATCCATTTAATATCATAGCACAAGACTTCACTATTCCCAATTAAACAAAAACTAACTACACTCGATTCAAACAAAACCCTTGGAAAAGAACCGCGGCACAAAGAAAAACCAAAGGGAGAATTATTACACTACCAAAGAAAAATAAAATATTTTTTTCCTTTGACTTTGATCCCTCAGGAAGACAGTCGAGGAAATCTATCGTCGGGAAAAGTTTTCTAAATCAAAAGAAAGCGACTACAAACACACACACACACACACACACACACACACACACACATATATATATATATATATATATATACAAATTCCCAACCCTACACTTTAAATTGTGGCATGTCCACATGACACACAAACAAAAAACAAGAGGTAAAGGAAACTTCCTTGATTCATCTAGTCGGGGTCTGAATCGAAATCAGGATCTTCTTTGCATGTCCGACCCAGTGCACACATCCACGTTGAGAGCTTCTTTTCCGCCTTCTTTGGGTACACCCCACACTTATCAGATTCACTATTTCCAATTTGCTCTTTCAGGGCCCCCCTTTCTCCTTCCATTTTGAAGACAGACTTTCATCCCCCACTCTGAGCATGAGTTGTCTTTTCTCAATATCTAGAATTGCTCTACCCATAGCCAAGAAGGGTCTTCCTAAAATCAGCGAAACCTCCCTATTCTCCTCCATGTTCACCACAATGAAGTCCACCGGGAACACAAATTTTTCTACCTGAACTAGCACATCCTCCACTATTCCTTCAGGTATGATTGTGGTCTGATCCGCCAGCTGCAAGGACACAGGTATCGACCTGATCTCTCCAATCTCTCCCTCTAATTTCCTGAAAATAGACAAAAGTATAAGGTTAATGGAAGCACCTGAATCACACAAAGATTATCGAAATTTAGTACTTCCTAAAGAGCAAGGTATAGTAAAACTCCCTGGATCTCCACATTTTTTAGGGAGCTTATTTTGCAAGATGGCACTATAATGCTCTGTCGGCTTGACAACCAATGTCTCTTCCACTTTCCGTTTCTTGGACAATATCTCCTTCATAAATTTAACATAAGCTGGCATCTGAGAAAGCACCTCTGTGAAAGGTATATTCACATGCACCTGCTTGAACACTTCTAAAAAGCGCTCGAATTGTTTGTCCAACTTCTCTCTTCTTTGCTTCTGAGGGAAGGTAGAGCTGGCATGTATTTTCTCTCTCCAGTCTCATTATTTGTTGAATTATCATTTTTCTTCTTTTTCTGAGCTCTAATCCTCCCCTTCTTCTTCAAATCCTCATCTACCATCACTTCTCCTTCTTGAATGTTGTTATTTTTCTGCTGGCCCACAATCTCGACTTGTCTCTCAATCAGCTCATCCTTTTGCTTTGCTATGGGATCCTCCAACTTGTGCCCACTCCTCAAAGACACTGCATTGATTGTCTCTTTTGGATTTCTTTCAATATCAGCAAGGAGTGTTCCTGGAACCCTCTCAGACAATAGAGTAGCTAGTTGTCCAACCTGTCTTACCAGGTTTCGAAAAGTTATGTCCATTTCTTTGATAGTTGCACCATGTTCTCGTATAGCTGAGCTATGAGTTTCAAGTCTCTCATCTGTCTTGATAATAAAAGCATTCATTAGATCTTCCATGCTAAATTGATTAGACTGTGAAGGTTGATATTGCTGCCTCTGCTAATTTTGAAAACCTTGAGCTCCTTGTCCCTAGGGTCTAGAGTTATTTTGTTGCCTTGACTTCAGGCTACCATTTGGTGAGTTCCACGAAAAGCCTAGGTGCCTTTGTCCCATAGGATTGAAATTATTACCACTCTGGTAGTTGCCTCTATCAAAGCTACCCTCAGCATTTACCCCTTCATCTGCAGCTACGACCTGACACTCATGCATTGGATGACCCATTCCACAGAAATCACAAACTGGTGTTGGTTGGCTCTGGACCTTGGCTAAGGTCAACTTTCTTATCTCTTTAGCCATGGCGTCTAGTTTGGCTTGCACTACGGTTTTAGAATCTACTTGATGAACCCCAACTGGTCTCTTTCTATCATTACTCTTAGCAGGCCGGTGGTTAGCATCTTCAGAGAGCTCATCAAGAATTGCCATAATCTCCTCAGGACTCTTCTTTATTAAAGGACATCTGACTGCAGTGTTCAGAGTTCTGCGTGAGGGAGGTGTCAGTCCATCCCAAAAGTTCTGGAGTTGCATCCACAATTCAATCCCATTGTGCTGACACTTCCTCACTATCTCCTTGAATCTTTCCCAAACCTCAAAAACTGTTTCAGCGTCCGTCTGGCAGAAGTTGTGAATTTCCCTTCTGAACTTTACTATTTTTGCAGCTGAGAAGTATTCATCAAGAAACTTTCTAGTCATATCTTCTCAGTCCTGATCGACCCCGTTGGTAAGCTACAAACCTAGTGTTTCACATCATCTTTCAATGAAAAAGGGAATGCCCTTAGGTAGACTACATATTTCGACACTCCGTTGTACTGGAAGGTGTTCATGATTTCCTCAAAATCCATCAAATGAGTGTTAAGATCCTCATTCACCTTCCCTCTGAAAACACGGTTGTTCTGGATAGTTTGAAACAAGCGTTGCTTCAACTCGAAATTATTCGCTGCTACTGGTGAAGGTCTGACATTGGACAGTCCCTGATTGTAGACTGGTCTGGCATAATCACCCAATGCTCTACCAGGCATGGGTACCGCATTCTCGAACTGATCTTCAATCAATGGTTTATTTATATTGAGTCTTGGACCCCCATCATCGTTCACAGTCTCATCAGCAGTGCTACGAGCTGCCTCAACTGCTATCCTTGCAGCTTCTTCTCTAAGTTATACTGCTTCTCTTGCAGCTAAATTTGCCTCATCTTCACTGTTATTATCCATGTGTTCTTGGGTTGAAGGTTGCCCCAAGAACTTTCCGGTGAGTTCTTTCACTTTCCTCAACTGTCGCAGATGTTTTTCCACCTCTAGATTGTATGGAATCAATTCCTTTGAAGAAGATCGAGTCATACACCAAAGGAGTCAATATGTTGCATGCACACGGAAGAGGAAACCTGTAAAGAATAAAATAAAATATAAGAAAATACTGAATTAGTACCAAAACTATTTTGAACAGTATTGATTGCAAAACCCCGGCAACGGAGCCAAAATTTGACGAGCGCAAAACACAACACAAAATTATTGCTCGCTAGTCAAAGATAGTATAGTTTAATTATCATTTCCACGGGGATTGGATTAAATAATGTTCAAGTAATTTCTGATTTAACAGCTATTCAGGATGATCAACACTTGAGTTAAATGATTATGAACTATGTTTAACTACAAAAATAAAGCAATTGACTATTGACAACAAGGAATTAGAGATTCACAAAGTTGGTTTCTTATCAATGTGAGGAATAAGGGTTTGACAGGATAGGTGCAAGATAGCTATTTGGGATTTAACTCTAGTTTAATTCACTCTAATATTCTAATGATTCTCCCGAATTCACTTGATGATTAGTTCAAATGTGTAGTCAAGACTCCTCTCTCGATTAAATCTTAACTCTACGAGGTGAACTAATATAAGCACTATGAAGTATGCAAGCATACGTCTATGGATTGGTCCTTAGGAAAATGTCCCTCGAATATTCTCCTAACTTGATTTAATCAAAAATTCAACAAGCTCTTCCGGTTACGTAAGAGAATCAATGAATTAAATAAAACAAAATTATGCAAAGATAATCACCAAGATATTCCTCTTTCGATTAAATAAACTGATGAATAACGTTGCAACAATTCAAAACTCCATAAACGATTCAAGCACGAACTAGAGTTAAAATCCACAAATATTTATCAACACACCAAACCATTAAACCCTAAGGTAAACTACTCCATAATTATAGAGGAGGTCATCACAAATATAATTAAAGAATAAAAAAGCATCAATCTAACGTTACAATTCAAACTCTCGTATTTAATTGATGGAAAGATGATGAAATCCCGAGTCTCGTAGCCTCCAATGCTCTCCAAAGCTTCCGAGGTCAAAAAGATCCCTTCAAAAATATCTTTTTGGTGTATTTATACCCTGTAGGAGTGGGCCCAGGCAAATTTACCTTTTCCAAGCCAAAACAGGAAAGTTACTCTGAGAAAATCACACAGGCGCATCGCGCCATGCGCCGCCCCATGCGGGGCGCTAGTGGGAAAGTTCAAAAAGCTTAATTCTATCAGAGTTGGCCAATTTGTACGCCGCACCGCGCCCAGCTGCGCCCGATGCGGCTCAACTGTAGAGATTCTCAGAGTGTTGTTCATTTCTGCTTGTACATAGGCAGCCACCTTGTAGACATGACGTCAAATACGTCATATTAGGCCTCAATTATTTAGGCTTCAAATCTTTGCTTCTAATGAATTGTTAGCAAGCCACCTTATGTCACGTTCTCCAACACACTGTGATACCATTAGTTAGCTTTCAACATTTTTTCCTTTTCCTTTTAATTTCTTATACGTGCACGCGGACCTCGACTCCTGAATTTGATCCCGGCTTAACTCTCGAACTTTTACTCAGACTTCAAAGTTTTATTTTTATTCAATTTAGCTCCAAAATATTTTTAGCCCGGAATCTCAACCTACACAAAAAAAAAATAATGAGTATAAATTGTCTATATTTTAGCTCAAATAAAATTAAAGTGTAACAAATAATAGGTGTAAAGTATCCAAAAACTTGTATTTCTAGCCTACCATCACAATTACTTGAAGAAAAAGTGGCCAGCCATAGACAATGATGTTGACACTGGCATTATGGTCACAAGGATTTTCTCCCAAAAGTTTGAACTAGATGCTCCCCAAAAAGTGTACAAGACTGATATGACTCCCTTCCATAAATTATTATTTTATTTTGTCAATTCCTGCATTCTAGAGGTCTGAGAGAAGGCATGAAGCTACTCTGCTGAACATGGGTATGATGGAGTTGCGTAACACCGGTAGACCTATCAATCTTCCTAGCCTGATTATTCAGCACATGGCAAGAGCTGCAGACACCTCCAAACCTAATAGCATGATATGCCTTATGGTTTCATGTTGACTGAGTTGTTTGACAAGCTCAACATTGCCTTAACTGAGCTTATGTTTGGAAACCACAATGACGTTTTGGATGTTATTACCCTCAAGCAGTGTGGGTATGAGGAGATCAAGGCTAGAGGACCCATAGGATCTGCTATTTTACCTAAGAGCAGTAGGGCTGTAGAGCTCAGCAAGAGGTTGGAGTTGGTTGTTGAAGAGAATGCCAAGTTTCATGAAGACAATAATGAGCTGAGAAAGGAGACAAACCAACTCAGGGAAGAGCTCAAAAAATATAGGGAGGCTCATGCCCAAAAGATTGTCACCCTTGTGAAAGCTTTGACCCCCTCTATTTCTCACCCATGAACTTGTTCCTTCTCAGTGTCTTTAGTTCTTTTGCTATTCTAGTGATGCCTTATATTTTTTCTCTTTCTTTTGTCTTAGTCTGAGTAGTTTGCAGTATGCTTAGTTTATTTTGTTCTAATGATGAAGACAAGGCCTTAGGCTTCTTTTGGCACTACTTAATGTCTCTTCTTACTCTGCTTTAATGCTTTGTACTATATTGGATCATCAGCCTAGTTTATTTGTCTTGATATTTCTTAAGCTTGTGTCGTAGCCTGTTTGGCCTTGAATCTTACATTAACTGTGCTTAATGTCTAACATTTTTTTGTATTTTCGATGATGCCAAAGGGGGGAAGATAAGGTTGAGGTTTATGGGTTGTGAACGCACATGTCTTTCTTTAGTAATTGTCACTTGTTGTGATTATGTGGTTCTTTGATGTGATTACCTGGTTCTGTTGTGTACAAGGTTTGTCATCATCAAAAAGGGAGAATTTGTTGAGTATTAAAGTTTTGATGATTAACAAAGTATGACTAAGTGTTCAAAGAACTAGGTCCTCAACATAGCTGCTTAATTGTTCTTAAAAACCAGCTCCTCAAGAGAAAGGATCAGGTCCTCATGTTGATACTTGTACGACTGTACAAGACAGTAACTTTATCTCAAAGTTACCCAGGTCCGAGTTTGATGGAAGAAGGCTGCTATAAGTGATAAGGTTCGTTGCTCAAGAAGATACAGATAATTTAGTTAGAGATAAAAGTTCCAAAGCTTGTGGAATTCTTGGAACAGGAGTCCTATCAAAGAGGAAGCTGACTATGAATAGGACTCCTAGAAGATCTCAAGTTGAAGTGTTTAAATATGATCGACTTTGGAATTCTGAACTATCCTTTTACTCATCAACAAAAGAGTCATAAGTTGTTTACTTAAGTCGAGTACTTGCATTGTATTCTTTCTAAGTCAATCTAGTAAATGTGTTTTAGGAAATTGAGTTGGAATCAAGTGTCATAAACAATTAGTGAGCTGGAGTGAGTGTTTTGCTTTACAAGTTAGAGTAACTTGTGAATCAAATATGAGTAGTAGGAATACTGGAGAGTATTTAATTACAGTCTTGTAATTAATACATTTTGGCTCATTGTTCTAGTGGAGTTGGAGTTGAAAATCCTACGTGGTAGGTCGTGGTTTTTGCACCTTTTGAGCCGGGTGATTTTCAACGTAAAAATTGATGTGTTCTTTTTATTGCTTATTTACTTTACGCTTAAGGAACACGGTAAAGAAATGAGGTTATTCGCGACAAGGTGGGTGTGTCCCCTATTGAAGATAAGATGCAGGAGTCGTGGCTTAGGTGGTTTGGTCATGTGAGGAGGAGGAGGAGCACAGACGCCCCAGTGAGGAGGTGTGAGAGATTGACATTGGAGGGCCTACAGAGAGGTAGAGGTAGGTTAAAGAAAGGTGGAGAGAGGTGATTAGGCAAGAAATGGCGCAGCTTCAGCTGACCGAGGACATGACTCTTGATAGGAAGGTATGGAGGTCGAAGATTAGGGTAGTAGAATAGGTAGTCTAGAGTGTTCATAATAGTAGTATTGGCACGCAGTCTCGCTTTCTGTTGGTAGTAGGTTTTTATGACTAACCGTTATTTTCTTTCATTGTTGATCACCTTACTATTTTGTTATTTTTATTCTGCTTTTGTATTAATTTTTGGTACTGCCCCTTCTTGTCTATATTTTTATTAATGTGATTCTTATTCTTTCCTGAGCCGAGGGTCTATTGGGAACAGCCTCTCTATCCTCGTAATTAGACAGGGGTAAGGTCTGCGTACACACTACCCTCCCCAAACCTCACGGTGTGGGATAATGCTGGGTATGTTATTGTTGTTGTTAAGGAACACGGTAAAAAACCAAGTTCTTTAGTAATCCATACGTGCACTCAAACTAGACGTCGGTGCTTCTGTTGTTATGCAATTTTTACTTTTTCTTGTTAGAAATATATGCACCAATTAGATGACGACAGTAAATAAAAATGGATGGTTTTGAGTCCAACCTACCTAACATAATTTTACAAAGATTGATATGGACAGAAAAGTAAGAAACAAAAGGTTTAGTTCACAGCTCAGAGTTTTTTAGTTTGGATTTAACTGATATATGCTAACAATGTAAAGAATTTTATATTTTCTGTAACAAGTTATTTGTCTTATTCTCTAGGTATTTAATAAGTGCATGTACATATATTGCAAAATTTGGGTTTAGTTTTCCAGCATTTTGTACTGATTAATTTCTTAAGTTTATTTTGATCTTTTAATTTAACTGCATATTTTAGAGTCATTTATAAGAATGCTTCTCGGTACTTTTCACTTCTGTGGGCTGGTCATGATTTCCCTAAATTCACTGAGAAAACTGTAATATAAATTCCATCACTTAATTTTACGAGGATGCTAACGTTAAATATTCTGTTTGCCTTTTCTTCTTCTTTTTGGTTTCTAGTATTGTGAGCAGTGATATGTATAGTTTACCTACTTGACAAAATGTAACAAACTTTGTCTTATTTCAAAACTTACAAACTGGAAAAGGAAAAGAAAAATTAAATAGAAGTATTCTTAGATTGGATGATCTACCGCGAGCAAACATGCATCACATTATATATAGAGAGAGATGGAAAATAATTTGAGCTTTGAAGAAAAACAAAAATATGTTTTTGTTATGGTCTTACAGATCGACAATTACTTAACTCATCTTCATTCCAGTTCGTAATAAGCACGTTAACTAATCAAGATATCATAAAATTAAAGATGTTTATTTGATTTTACTTACGAATCCATAGATACAAATTAAACATGCTTTACATTGACTCCATTAAACCAAGAACATTGACTTCATTTATTTTACAGCTACATTATAGTTTGTCCACTTATTTTTAACTATTCTAAGCTGCCACATTCTTACCATATTCTTCCTCCTTCTAATTAAGCTTTTGATTCTTCTCTCCTGCGTCAAAACAAGAGATATAAAACAGTCAACCAAATATTACTTAAATTCCATCAATTTACTATGGAAGTGTTATCAAGAAAAAGAAAAAATTCCAAATTTATGCCTCTACTGTATACTTAGGGGTCATTTGTATTCTCAGCGTTAGCAAATCGTCTTATAAGTTTCTTTAACTTTAACGAAGCTCCAGTACTGTGGATTGAGCAGATTTCACGTGTCAAAAATTTTTAGGAAAAAAAAATTCTAATTTACCTCTCTACTTTTGACTATAGTTTAAAATTGTGTATCCTACACTATACTTCGGGTTGGAGCTCGTTAGGGTCAAGAGCAAATAAGAGACGATTTGTTAACAGTAATGGTATGAATGGCCCTAATTGAAGTATAAAGAAGAGTAAAATTATAAGGCAGAGGAGGTGCGATCCTTTCCTTGACCCTGCGTGAACGTGGATATTTCGTGCACAGAGCTACCTTTTTTATACGATAGAAGGAGGGAAAAAAAGAGAAAGAAAACAATACCTATTTGCATCTCATTCACATGCAGAGCAATGTCACCATTTGGGAGCTTCTCACTTATACTAATTTTCTCAAACTCGGCTTCTGAAATAAATGCTTTATTAGCATTTTCATTATTAGGAGAAGAAGGTTTTGGCATTGGAGGAAAAAGGTGACTTATAGATGACTCAGAATTTTCTCTAAAATAAAGTTCACCAAACATTTCAGTAACATAAGATTTCTCAGATTCAGCTGCTTTTTTCTTGAAAAAACTTTGTTCTTGTCTAGTTATCTCTTCAAGAAATTCCTCAAGTGTTAATTCATGAAACTGATTTTTCATAATTGTTTGATTTATAATGCAGAAGTAAAGAGATATTAGAGGTCTAGTAGTAGAAAAAAAGGAGTTGATTTTTAGTGCTATATATATAGGCCATTTGGAGCAGATGAGGTTAAAATTAGTTGATGGAGTTTTCTCTTTTTTTAATTCACATTTCTTGTTGAGGAGAAGAGTAATAAGTGATTGATGATATCATCCAAGGAGGTTTACACGAGAAAAGAAACTAGTAACCGATGGATTTAAATTTGTTAAAATTTAATTAAAAGATTCAAAACTCAGTCACATAAAAAGAAAAAACTAGTACTATATTGTTTATTTTTCTAGTCTTTTTCTTTTCCTTATGTAACGACCCGACCGGTCGTTTTGAGAATTTACGCCCCGATCCCCTATTAACTGTTTTCCCCAGGTTTATTTCTGCTATTCTGATTTGCCGGGATGTTCGGTTTTAAGTTTCGGAGAGTTTTGAGACACTTAGTCCCTAAATGAGAGCTTAAGTGTTGGAAAGTTGACCATAGTCGGAACAGTATGAAGACATCCTCGGAATGGAAATCTGATGGTTCCGTTAGCTCCGTTAGGTGATTTCGGGGTTAGGAGCCTGATCGGAATGTGCTTTGGAGGTCCGTAGCTAATTTAGGCTTGAAATGCCGAAGGTTGAATTTTGGAAGTTTCCGGTTCGATAGTGAAGTTTTGATCCAAGGGTCGGAATGGAATTTCGAGAGTTGCAGTAGTTCTGCTATGTCATTTGGGATGTGCGTGCAAAATTTCAGGTCATTCGGACGAGGTTTGATAGACTTTTTGATCGAAAGCGTATTTTTAGAATTTTTGAAATTCTTAGGCTTGAATTCGTTGAAAAATAGGTGTGTTGATGTTGTTTGAAGTATTTTAAAGATTGGTACAAGTTTGAATGATGTTTTAGGATTGGTTGGCATGTTTGGTTGAGGTCCCGGGGGCCTCGGGTGTGTTTCGGAAGGTTAACGGATCAATTCGGACTTGAAGAAAGCTGCTGAAATTTCAGCTTCTGCATTTTTCGCTTCTGCGGAACAGTAACCGCACATGCGGTGAATAGTAACCGCATCTGCGGTGAACAATAACCGCATCTGTGGTGAACAGACCGCACCTGCCGTGAATAGTAACCGCACCTGCGGTGAACAGTAACCGCAGGTGCGAAAATTGCTGGACAGACTATTTCAAGTTCTGCGTCCCATTTTCTATTTTTGGCAATTTGGAGCTCGGGTGAGGCGATTTTTCGAGAGATTTTCAGAGGGAACAACGGGGTAGGTGTTCTTAACTTAATTTTGATTAGATTACTCGAATCTCTTACTAGTTTTGGCATTTAACCCGTGAATTTTGTTGGAAATGTTTAGAAAATCCTCTCGGATAGAATCACGGATTTGAGGGTCGAAATGTTATGGGATTTGGACAATTTTGGTATGGTTAGACTCGTGAGAGTGCGAGGTTTCTGGAAATATAAATTTTACCCGATTCCGAGACGTGGGCCCGAGAGGCGTTTTGGTCATTTTACATAATTTCGCATATTAGCTTAGAACTTAATCGTAGATTCAGCTTCTTGAAGTATTATTTACATTATGAAATGGAATTGAATAGATTTGGGCCATTTGGAGTCGGATACTCGTGGCAAGAGCGTTGTTTCTAGTTGATTTGAGCCGGTTCGAGGTAAGTGGTTTGTCTAACCTTGTGTGGGGGACCTTCCCCTTAGGATATGATATATGATAATTGAAATGCCTTGTACGTGAGGTGACGAGCGTGTACTTGAGCTAATTATTGAAAAACCCGGTTTTATTTTTAGTATTTAAGCTGAGTTCCTTTCCTTCATGTTTATTCTACTTGCGACTTTAGCCTGTTGTTAGTTTAGAAAAGCATGTTTAGTTGACTTAATTGCCTTTTGCTTAAACTGCTTTAATTGCATTACGTGAAGCATGTTAGACTAGAATTAACTGTTTACTTGATACATATTTAGCATTTAATTGAGTATCCTTGTGTTGCTTCTGTGTGTTTTAATTTGGGACTACGGGACGGCATCTCGGGAGATCCCCTGTACGTATTTATGATTTGGACTGAGGTGTGGGATACCAAGAGATCCCTGGCACGTATATTGAGGATACCAAGAGATCTCTGGCATACATTGAGGATACCAAGAGATCCCTAGTGTGTATATATTGAGAATACCAAGAGATCCCCGATATATATTGAGGATACCAAGAGATCCTCGGGATACCAAGAGATCCCTAGTGTATATATATTTAGGATACCAAGAGACCCTCGGGATACCAAGAGATCCCTAGTGTATATATATTGAGGATACCAAGAGACCCTCGGGATACCAAGAGACCCCTGATTATTATCCCTGTTGTGAGTGGTGTTACCTGGTGATTTGTCTTTATATTCTGTTTCTGTTATTGTACGCTTATTATCATGTATAGACTCTTACTATAGATTCTCAATTATATTGTTTATCTTTACCTGTCACTATTATTATTATTTACCTCAGTAGGGCCCTGACCTTCCTCGTCATTACCCGACCGAGGTTAGGCTTGGCACTTACTGAGTACCGTTGTGGTGTACTCATGCCTCTTCTGCGCATGTTTTTCATGTGCAGATCCAGGTACTTCTTCTCAGGCTTATCATCCTTGAGGGAGGCGACTACTTAGAGACTTCGAGGTACATCTGTCGCGTCCGCAGACCGAGGAGTCCCTTTCCATTCCTGCTTTTAGTATTTTAGCCCTTCTGTACCTTCCGTTCTTATTAGGAAAAAAATCCGGAGTTAGAGCTATGTAGTATTTCTCTGTCTTAGCTTGTGATTCATGGGTTTCCGGGTCTTGGATTTTTGTGTTGGTTTTGAGAGTTAGATATGGTGTATGGCGAGCGGCACATTTATACACTGGTTATTTCTTATTTCTATTTCAGATTGTTTTACTTCCGCAAATTTTGATTTCTTTTCCGCAATTTAGGCTTACCTAGTCGTAGAGACTAGGTGCCGTCACGATGGTTCACGGAGGGGCGAACCGGGGTCGTGATACCTCACTTGTTTATCCACATCAGAATCCAACTAAATTCTCATTCACACTGATAAATTTCATATTAGGGGTTAAATTGCTTGCTAACAAAGGTGACTCCATACTCAGAACTCAAACTCGAGACTATTCTTTGCTCTTAGTATCTTTACTGTCTTCTTGATTTCAACTAACAAACATGAACATATCGAGGACTTTGTTAAATTTTTATTAAAAGATTCGATTTAGCCACAAAAAAAAGAGTTATATAAGTTGTTTGCTCCTTGCTCTTAGATCATTCTTTTTTTTAAACTTACAAACGTAAAATATATCCATCTATGCATGTTTTCTTAATAAAATGAAGAATAAAATGTATACAAACTATAAAGTTGTATCGGGTGGCTAGAGCTTAACTTTTTTTTTATGTACAAAGAGGAAATTTGCATATCTGTGTGGTGCTTGCACCTCTATAATTAGCACAATAATTTATTATATAAGTAAAATCAAATTCTTAATTAAACTTTATTGAAATTTCCTTTTTAATTAAATCAAGCGATTTAAGTGAGAATTGATGAAGGGTGTTAACATGGTAACTTTTTCAAGTTGAGAAAGAGTTACAGTGACTTGAAATAATTAAACTTTGTTTTAACTATTATTGCTAAATGCCAAAAGCAAACTTTGCTAGTCAATTTTGTAACCGAAAACACAGTTGGAGTATTGGAATTAAGTGTAATAATCACGTAAAGACAAATGAGAGCTATTACTCTTTTTTCCATAGAAACTGCATGCACAAAACTACAAAACCTACCCAAAGAGTTTAGCGGTGACACGCTGATCAGGAGCGGAATTACAGTAGTATAAGTATATAATATTTAATTACTAATTTAGTAATTAAAATAAGTTATATCGACTTGACTGCAAATTCACAACTCATAAACTTTAAATTATGTGTCTTCACCTCTATTGTTGAGCATCTTTGATGCAAACAAGATATAAGCTACCAATAAAAAATTTGGATTGAGTGATAAGTATTTTTTTACCTTTAACCAAAGATTTCGAAGTTGAGAATTAAATTGGAATTTACTTTTCTTACATAACGTTTTATCCCTAATATGGGACTTCACAGCGATTCTAAATTTAATCGGCCTCATCATGAATAACGGACATTGAATAGAAAACAAAAAAAGACAAAGAGATAAGCCTAGCTTCTATTATTTTTGGTTCACCTATACATATTTCTCTATTTTCAATTTGTACATGAGTGTATTTTTTTTTAGGACTCCAATATGATGTATAGAATGTGCAAAGTATTACTTAGTAAATCTTCTCTAATTAAACTTCAAACTTTTAGAGAGTGCATTCATAAAATTTGTGTAATGATGAAACAGGATTCGGCATTCTAGTTTAATTGGGAATTCAGTGCATAGTGGTGCAAAATCATACTATATAATACTGATGAGTAATTCTCTTTTCTTTTGCCTGCGATACTCTAACGAACTAATATTTGGCTTCTATCTTAAATTTATTTTAGTTCTATATATGGAGATTGTTGGAGGCATAAATAAATCAATAAAGAGTGTGTTCTTCCTAGTACATAATTAATGTGAGAAAGTGACACTTCAACATAGTATTAGAGTAGTCAAAGGTACTTAGTACAAGTTTTCTTATTACGCATTATCAAAAAGAATTTCCATACACGTGCTTGATTGGCTTATGGAAAAAAAAAAAAAAAAAGAAGAAACAAATCGACATGTAAGGACTAGGTGTGTTGAAGACATAAAATAAATTAATAAAAATTTAATTTAGGCTAGATAGTCACATACTTCAACGGAGATCAAAAGCAATTTACGAGATGCAATGACTCACATGTGGATTTTAAGTTTTAGAAATTAAGGAACCATAAGGCCTGCATCTTCCGGACTCTAAGACCTTGATAAAGTTCTATAGATATATTATTTTATATGATGGTGTTTGATCGAACATGAAGTGTATATATATATATGCGCGC